CCGCTTGGGGTGGAGGGGGGGGGTGACAGGGAAGGACGACGACAGTGCCCCCGCCCCGGCCATGCACTGCTCAGCCTTGCTGGGGAGGACGCGGCCACGACACCCGGCTTATCCCAGCGCAGGAAGCCCCTCTAAAATTAAACCTGGCTTGGAGTCAAGGCCACGGCGCTGGGTGTGCACCGCGCGCCACGCTCGCTCCCCGCCAGCACCCATGGGACCCCCTGGCTGCTGCCCACCCTGAATATGAGGGAGGGGGGTTGGCTTTGGGCGCAGCCCCGGGGGCAGGTGGAGGCACCCTGCTCGCAAAGCGCTGGCGCAGCCGGCTCTGCCGACTCAGCAGCTGCGGGGCCGGCTTTCCGATGGGAAATCGGCACGGAGGAGCGGGGGAAAAAACAACACTGGCAGCCCGGGGATTGTCAGGGGGAATTTGCTGAGCTGCTGTCTCCAAACACAAGGGCTGCCCGCGGCACCCACCCAGCACGGCCCCTTCCCTGCCTCCCCGCCCTGGGTGCAGAGCCCCTTCGTGGGGTTGGGGACACTGCGGGGACATCGCTAGCCAAGGGGATGGTGAAGCATTGGGCTAAGGCATGGGACGGGCAGGCTCAAGCCTTGGCGTGCCTCAGTTTCCCCTTGCATCTGTGGTGACTCACGTGCATCTCGTTCATGTTCATGACGGTGGGAGAGGGCCGGAAGGTACCCAGGCGGTGCCGGATCCCATCCTCCAGCGTCATGCCCCAAAACTGGCTGTAGTTGGCGGCTCTCCAGCTGCGTGGGAGGAGGGGGAACAGGTCAGGGGTGCCCCAAAAAGCACCAAGAGGTGAAGGACCCCTTCCCCATCCTCCCCGGACCCAGTCCTTACCCATAATTGCCCCTGTTGATGGCATCGATCAGCTCCCCATCCATCAGGCAGGCATGGTCCTCACACTGCCACTGCCCACCAGGGCTGCAGGTGCTGCAGAGAGGACAGCATCGGAAGGGACAGTCAGCTGGGGAGGGCACAGTGTCCCTAGGGTGAGGGGGGGGGACCCCAGGTGGGTGCTGCCTCTCCCAAACTGGGGACCCACTGCTGTCGTGGGCAGGCAGTGAGGGTTTGGGGCTGGTTCTGCACCAGGGGCTGGGGGTCACACCATGGTTTGGCACCTCGGGATGGGTGAAGCTGGGCCAGGAGCTGGCAGACAGCCCAAAAAGTGGCCCTGGGGGCTGTCCCCCCACGCTGGTCCCTGCAGGAGCCTGGAGGGCAGACAGAGCATGGGACAGAAAATCAGCTGAAAAGCAGCCAGGCCTGCAGACATCAGAGCGGGGCTTGGATGCCAGCCCAGGGAGGGGATTCGGGGCCGGCTGTGTCCCCCCCCCCGGGGG